TAATTCTGTTAGTTCCTTCAGATGAATTTTATGAGGTATGATGGGTGATTTCTTTGATGGATTAGTGCTAATAACACAAAAATAGGTATTTTATGCAGATGCTATTAGCTCAGGACCAAAGTTTGTCAGGTATTAAGCAAAAATTAGGAATCAACTTGATATCACATGCATGTCTTCATGTGTTTGCTTCATTCACACAAACAGTGTAAGACAATTACCTATTTTTGGCACTAAAAGAAGTGTGGGTGAATGGAGCTTATTTATCCAATTCCTCTGTGAATTGTGGTGACTTGCTTCCTTCAAGCAGCTAGGTGTTCTCTCACCACTTCCTTGCCTGTTTCGACCTGCTTCCTCTTCTGTCCCCTCCCCCATACACAGTGCACCTTCTGACAGATTGGACCATTTTTCCTTTTGCAAAAAGACAGATGCAAAATAGGAATTAAGCCATGGAGTCTTCTTCCCGTTGGCCATCACCATCTTGCCATCTTCTCCAACCAGCAGTCCAACTGTTTCCTTGATTGCTCTGCATACTCTCAAAGGAGACTTTTTGTTATTTTTCTGTGTTCATTGCAAGCCTCAGCTCATTCTGAGCCTTAGCCTTCCTGACCCCATCCGTACAGATTCAGAATATTTCCTGATATTCTGCTTTTGTTATATGCCCCCTTTTCCATTTTAAAGCATTTTTATTGCATAAGCTTTGACACATTATTTAAACAGAAATCACACAAGAATAAAGATACAAAAGCAAAGTAGAAGATAAACAACTACTAATAAAACATAAGTTTAAAAAAAAATTAAAAAAAAACCTTTTGGTAACACATTCTCTCCTTCCTTTCCATTATTTCCCCAACCGCTAATCACTACCTAAATATTTGTACTGTACTTTGAACATTAAACATTGGAGGTCATTGCTAGTACCTGTTTAAGCCATTCCATCTATTCCATCTATTTTGACTGGTCTTTTAACTCTTTTCCTAAAAACTGTATTCCAAAGGTCTGAATTTGCTTTGCTCTTTAATGTGTCATAGGCTTCATTATGAAAATATATTGTCAATTTTGCCATTAATGTGCAGTACATTCAGTTTTGGTCTCCCAGTCTTGTATTGTTGGCAAAGTTTAAGTTTTCCAATGTTGTGCTGAATTTGTTCTTGCAGCTGTCAGCAGTATATCTTAGAAAATTATGATACTTTTCATTTACCCTTTTCCCATTTTTTAAATGTGCCCTGTTTTTGTTTACCAGTTTATCAGAGTTCTTCAGATAAACATACTAGTTTCATCAGTATTTTTTTTCTTTTTCTTTTTGGTATTGTTTGTGTTTGGGGTTTAATTATCTCCATTTCCATAATTTCCCAACCCTCCTGAACTGTTTTCCCTTCTAGATTTCTATTCTTGGAATCCTTCCTATTTTTTCCCTCAGCTTATTGAATTCAGCTATCCTGAAATCTAGAACACCAGTCTGAATACCTCTTGCTCTCCCTGCCTGCAGTGGAGTGAATTTTAGGATCACATGGTCACTCTTTCCAAAGGTTCCTACAACTTCTACTTCCTCAACCATTTCTTCCCTGTTAGTACATATTAAATTCAATATGTGATCCCCTTGCTCCCTTCTCCATCTTTTGTACAATGACTTTGTCTGCAAAGTACATCAAAAACATATTAGATTTCCTATTTGCTTCAGAGTTTGATTCCCAGTTGATGTTGGGGTAGTTGAAATCCCCCATTAGCCCAGTGGTGTGTTTCCTAGACACCATCTGATCTGCAAAGATTTCAACTATATTTTCTGGTCGGTAGAGTAGCCTATAGTACACACCCACAACAGTGTCATTATTGTTTCTTTTCCCCTTAATATTCACCCAGATACTTTTGGCAGGATTTTTGCTCTTCTTGTCACAAGTTTCCATACAGATATAGTCATTCTTTATGTATAATGACCTCCCCTCCTTCGCTGGGTCTGTTTCTTTTGAACAAATCGTTGTAGTACTATATTCCAGTCTTGGGTTCCATCCCACCAGGTTTCTGTAATACTAACAATGTCATATTTGTCTCACCACTACCATACTAGGACTCAAGTTCTATTCTTCCTTCTACAGAGGATTTGTTCCCCATACTTTGCACGTTACTGTACAAGCATCTGAGCCCTTTAGTACTGCTCTTCTTAGGTTTGCTTGTTGCATCTCCTGGTGCATCCCTGAGTACCCCTTCCTTCTTGCCACTTCCTTCCATTTCTGAAAGCTGTTCTTGCTTAGCCTACTTTTCATATCAGACATAGACTAGGGTAGGGTTGGAGCAGTATGAGTTAAGGTAAAGAAACAGGAAGATTTCCCTCCCTTCATCTATATAGCCCTTTTCAAGCTGTGAGAACAATAAGCAATAAATAGGCAGAAACACCTATAGAAATGCCACAAACTGACATCTTAAACCAATGCTTGGTTTATAAATAGGATAAACTTGTGAAAAAATAGACATGGCTGCTCCCATTGGGTCCAGCTTCTCTTGTAAGCAAAGACCTAAATCTCGTATGTTGTCCAATCTGTTTATGTCTGACCACTCTGTTTCTGGGTATGTTTAGTCTAGGGATGAAAAAATGGAAAGGACTTAGAGGCAGGGTTCACACATAATGCTCAACTAGGATGTGCATTGTTTACTTTTGGCTTAGCACAAAATCTGAACCAGGCTAATATGGTTCTTATTAAGTCCCTTTACTCAAATACCTCCCTGAAAATTAGATGCACCCCTTGGGGACACTTATCTAGAGCAGTCCCAACTTACAGCGGTGTA